TAATACGGTAATGTTAAATCTTACTTATCGTAATCCCCTGAGCCCTGTTTGCGATGGTCTGCCGATTTGAGCATGAATATGCTGCACAGTGCTCTGACATCTTGCTTTCTTCAGCTGCGCAACTGGGAGTATGACCGGTTCCATAGGGCGTCTACCTCTATATATGTTTATGCTCTGAAGTGCTACTCCTTCAGTCAGAATCTGTAAAAGGGAACAAAGCCAAAATGGAAAGGAGAATCATACATATTTATCATAATTACAATAACAGAATAATATAAAATTCTCAATCTTTAAACCTATTAGATAAACCAAGACGTTATGAGTTGGCTATTTTTAGAGTGGATCATTCATTCAAGTGCCCATTATACTGCCTTACTACTACATGCTTATTGAAAAAAGACAGGCAGGGTCAAATATCTAAACAAATATATTTAATTTTTATTGTTGTGTTATTTTTCAGAGAGCCCTCAAAGCCCAGCATCTCCATGAATCCTGCTGGTGAGGTTACCTGGGGTCAGGACGTCAGCATCACTTGTTCCATCTCAATACAGGTTCATTTACGGAACATTCCTCCTGCAGCAGACCTCAGGCTCATTCAGAAAGACCCAAACATCAAGTACCAACTCTGCTACCTTCATTATACCTAAAGTGAACTTTGATAACGAAGGATCGTACCAGTGTCAGTATCAGACAAGTGTTTCAAGACGAGACTTCAGCTCCCCTTTAAGTGACTCTGTCAGACTCTCTGTTACTGGTAAGGAAATGAATCTGTTTCATTCACTTGTTTAAAGAAATAGTTCAACATGTTGGGAAATAAACAATTTTGTTTTTATATTGAGAGTTAGATAAGACTGATCCTCATCTCATAGCTGTCCTTTAAATATGAAGCCACAGCCAGCAGCTAGTCAGTGTAGCTTAGCATAAAGACTGGAAACAAGGAAACAGCAGTAACTTACTGAAGGCAACCAGAGGGGACCGAAAAACTTAAAAGGCTTATTTCCCTTAATGGTGAACTATTCCTTTGGCATAAAGGAAATTTAGCAAACTAAAAAAGCAGAAAAACGTGTAACTCAAAGTCAGTCCATTTACTGCTCTAAATTGTGTTTTTTCAGAGAGCCTCTCAAAGCCCAGAATCTCCATGATCCTGCTGGTGAGGTTACCTGGGGTCAGGACGTCAGCATCACTTGTTCCATCTCAACTCAGCATTTAGACGGAACATTCATCCTGCAAACCTCAGGCTCTTCAGAAAGACCCAAACATCAAGTACCAACTCTGCTACCTTCATTATACCTAAAGTGAACTTTGATAACGAAGGATCGTACCAGTGTCAGTATCAGACAAGTGTTTCAAGACGAGACTTCAGCTCCCTTTAAGTGACTCTGTCAGACTCTCTGTTACTGGTAAGACAATTAATACATAAATTAAATACAGCAATTAACCCAGAAAAGTGTACAGTAACAGGGTTGGGAGGATTACTTTAAAAATGTAATCCGGTACAATTACTAATTATTTACTTATAACATAATCCAAGTACCACAAAATAAAAGTAATTTAATCTGATTACTTTTAGTTACTTTTGGATTACTTCATATGCAAATGAAGACAAGTGAAGATGCGTTGTCTGCTTAGTGTGACATAGAATAACAAAATCTTCCGTTCCCAAAATCCATGTTTAAATGTTTTTCTATGATATGCTTTGCACTATGTCTGGCCCATCAATGACAAAAACGTTGTTTTAGAGGTATTCTTGATGATATTTAAGAATTTGTCATTTGGACAACCATTTTAAAATGTTGATGACTCACTCTGCACTTGTTGTATTAATTTAGCGTCCAGTGAAAAGATTTCTCAATATAAAGCTGCTGAAGCATCGTGTTTCACGGACCGGGCGCCATTGAATGCTGTACAAAATAACTTTTTCACTGATTTTGGTGAAACTCGATCATATTTGATGGAGAAATATTAAGAAATTTAGAAAATATATTCTAATTTTCTCTTGGTGTCCCCCAGCTGCTCTGCCTCAACTCTGTGATTCACAGAGTTTCCTGATGGACAGAGAGCTTTAACTTGTTGCTGAAGTTAGTTTCTTGATTTCTTAAACACATTTCTTGAAATTATGCTTCTTTTCTAGAAACTCTAAACGCAAATCCACAACTTCTCACCCAATTTCCCAAACATCCTATTTTCAGGTTAAAATGAAGCTCGCCACTCAAAACTATTCAATCTTGCTGAAAAACCAAACTTTGCCCTCAGACATGACACACAAGCCCTCAGAAACACACACACTGCAACACGGTCTGACACACTGGTGAGAGAGATTCAAAGCAATACTACAAAAACTGGTTATTAGTAATAATGGTTCTCCCCCTCAGAAACCTTTTCACATGATGAACACAAAAGAAATAACAAATGTAAACATTTGCTCATGTTTTATTCCTTAGTGTGCTGAACAGTTCAACACACCCAACAACTACTTATTCAGCCCCAGCGTCCTGTCTTTGGTCTATGACAGGCCAGAGACTCTTGTTCTCCACCTACTCCTCCTCCCTACTCCTACTCCTGCCGGAGTAAAAAGTGTTATGCAGTGAAAAATTAGCTGCCTGCTCTCATTGGCTGGATATGGATGTTGAGTCGGCCGACTCCGGCAGATATTTGGCATGCTGGATTTCTGGCAGACGTCGGCGATGTGTCAGAAATGTGTCGGGAGTCGTTTTGATGCGTGAGTAGTTCACACGTAACAAATCGGGCTAAAAATCGTGTAGTGTGACCTAGGCTTTACTCCTCTCCATACTGTGTCTCCTCCTCTCTGGTGTCCTCTCTGTCTTCCTTCAGATTTCTCTGGATCCATTGTTCCTAAAATAAATGAACTGGCATTGGGCCTTTTATCTTTCTATTGAATCTTCTGATTGGTGTGTTATCAATTTTGACTGTTTGTGGTTCACCTGTGTGCTAATCGAGCTCAGCCTGTGCTGATTGAGTGAACAATATTGAATGTCAGTGTTTTCTCAATGACCACATGGTGCAGGCAATGAGAAATGAAGGGATTTGTGAGTAGAGTTTAGAGAAATGAGTGTGCTTAGCTCAGTTAGCTGTGCAGCCACTGGTCAGATTAGCTCTGCCCATACTGGGAGCTCGGAGCACCAGGGGAGTGTTTGTGTTTACCACAGACTGTATGAAGGTGTTTACACCTTTACTCAAGCACTGGAGGTTTTCAGGCCAGGGGGGGGGGCCTGGCATGGAATGATGGCGGGGTGCAGCGCCGGCAATTCGCTCAGCAGTGAACACGGCATGAATAGGACCAAACACAGCCTCAAAGACCAACAGGGAATCCAGTACTGATATGATTTACTAGAGCTTCTTGATGGATATAGTTAGCCTTATTTTTTCTTAAATTTAACTGGAAAAGCTCATACGTACTGAGGTCATGTCCTCTGTATTGTTACCAGGATATTTAATCAACTCTTTCCATTCTACAATCACATTATACAAGATTTTTTAGGCTGATTCTGATAATAATTACAGCCAGTAGGTCCTATTTTTGTGGAGGTGTAACAACCAGCTCCAGCAGCGCTAACCTTTAACTTCACTTTCCCTATCCATGTGGTCGGATTAAATAAGCGATGTCCACTGTAAGGGCTCCAAACAGGACAAACTCAAACTCAGGGTCTGACAAGGGTTTGCCAGCCAGAGTCAGGGAGGCAGAAACAAAGGCTGAAAAGCAGAGCAAAGCAGGGAATGATGAGCGATGGGGCGGTATATGCACTGCAAGGCTGATTAGAAATAAGATGGGAAGCAAGAAGGGGTTACTGCAGGGCAGGAGGGGCAGGATCTGTAATGTCAGGGAGAGTTAGTAAATGGCAGAATGAACTGGCTGAAGTCGTGACAGCGACTGTGTTTATCTTAAACTAAATCACATGCAAATGACACCTGTGTGCTACAAAATAAGCACACCATCTCTACACACCAGACTGGTCCATTAAGCTCCATAATAACTGAACTTACACTAGGAAATGGATGCTAAGATCTGTGTGGCGCTACGTTGACTACATGGCACAGGTTGCCTGCTGTGATACAAATGGCACCCAGTAATCTAGGTAAAAACAACCTCAAAACGGTCAAAACAGGTGACTTAATAGTAGAAACAGTAAACAATATGCATTAAAAGCTTGAACAAGACGGTTCAATTTTCAAAGAAAACAACACAATAGCACAGAGGTGTTTTTCCACAATTTATCCTCAGCAATGCTAAACTGCGCTTTGAGGGGCAGACGGAGAACGACGGAAATTTAGTAGATACAGCAGAGATGCATCTCGGACAGTTCCACAGGAAACAGTAAATAAAAATAACCCTGGGAAAAATAAATACCAACTGGAAACTAGAACTGCAAGCAGTTGTAATCGGGGTCCAGCCTCCCGGCGCAAGCTGTCCCGG